CATGTGAAAGTTTAATTGAAAATAATATTGTTTGCTTTTTCAACTTTAATCATGTTGATTGTTGTTAACCTTGTTTCTAATGATGTTGCAATAACATTCCAGATGAATGGCGTCTTTTGATCTTAAGATCTCACATGCTACTCAATCGTTCAGCTAGAATTCTTGAAAGTATTCTCTGCATATAGTGTTAATTGACAAACATCACAAGTTTACTAATAAAAATAGCTAAGTTATGAGATTAAAATGAACTTACCGTCTACAAAAGCGATTTGACCACATAATGTATAGATATTTCCATGAAAAGGCCATGGTTTCAAGTCTCCAAATATGCCTATAGTGAGATAGAAGGGAAGGATTATCAGACTATTCACTTTACTTATTAGTGCGTTTAAAGGATAGAGACTGATAATAAAATTTACTCTTAAAAGTTTAAAATCTCCAACAAACTAAAACACAGATACATGGATGATGAATATTCTCAACAGATGTTACAGCTATCTACCCAGTGAGAAAAGTCAACTATGACGAAAAAACATTCCTCAAAATTATAGCACATGAGCTTAGTATTGTTGGTGAAATAGTATAAAATTATAAATGGTAATCGACAATGTTAGCTTGGATAGGTTTATAGGTTAATTGGAATTATGAGATTAATCAGAATATGTATGGATAATATAGGCTGAGAGGAATAACACAATTACATATCAGATAAAATATTTGACTCAGGATTATATGATGCATAATCTTATGAATTAAGGAGGAAATAATAAATTGAGGTGAGTCATGGCTAAATTCGTTATGTGTTCATAAGATTTCTAATAATAATGGTATTGATAACAATGATATAAAGATACATGAACAGTAATGACAATAATATTCTGCTTCTGGTTTCTAATGTTCTTTCAAACTAAACTTTATTGATTACGGTGATGAAACTTTATAAAATATCATTTCCAGCATGCGACTGACCATCAGTGAGCAGTCACGACCCCTCCGCCTGGGAATAGAGCTTAGAAACTCCGATATCGTACGTCGTGAGAAGTGACCGACGCGCACAGGTGAAGAGTTCAAAACGAGGATGAAACAGCGATCCTGTGCGTTGATGGTCTAACTAAGATCAGTTCGTGATATGAAGTCTATGAAAATTCTACAATCTTCACAAAATTTCGCACTGATGTTGCTGGTGCAAATGTAGGCCGTTTGTGACCAATAAGAAGCCTTGAAATTTATTGGATTCATATTATTATGAATGTCTTGTACAGCCCGCTTTATTCAAATTTATCAAGTCATCAAAGTGTCTGAAATAATATTTTGAATAAGACGAATTTAATTTATGAAAATGCAAAAGAGGAAGCCTGTCTGAACATTTATTAAATTAGGTTACTTTATAATTACGATAATTATTGACTTTAAGTTGACCAAGATAAAAGTTATGATACATCACATGTCCTTTTACGACAAATAGTGGTTACTTTAAACATTTAGGGAACTTCGATCCAGACAGATTTAGGCACGTAGCTATTCACCCGATAGATTGCTTTCAATGATTTACTTATGCTGGCTGTATTGGCCGTTTGAACTAAACAAAGCACTAGTTACCGTTTATATATATCTTTATAGTATAGAAACCTTAATTTTCCTTGTTGATAAATTTAGGTGACGAAATGTTCACATTAGCTAAAAAACTAATAAATCACGACCTTAAATACTTAATTTCATTTATTGTCATATATGAGTAGCAATTTAAGTGTAAATAATCTTAACGTTAAAATAATAGTGTTGGAGCTTAGATTTAGTGATACATGAACGGTATCGGTTGTTAGTGTGAAAGCCAGACGTGTTTGGTGGAATAACTCAATTTTCGCCCTTTCAAACATTTGCAACTATTAGGACGTTATTAATCAAGTGTAATGCTTACCATTCAAAGCATTCGTAAATAGCTTTCGATCAAGTTGTCGATTAAAATGAAGTGTTATATTGCGTAATCTGGGAGAAGGTGGAGTGAGAGTACATAAACTGAAATTTGAAAAAAAAGAGCGGGTGCAGTTATTGTTTTTATTTCGGTCGTAATTTTTAAAAAATACTTGCTTTTGCAGTTTTAGTTCTCTTTAACTTTAAATTTTCGTCAGCTTTATCTTTAATGCTAGTCAGTTAAAAAAAAGTTCACTACAGTCTGTAATCTAATAAACATTTGTTCCCCCAAAAAACTATAGACAACAATTTTACTTAGATTTCTTGTAAGATTTTACTGAAGAAGAAATTTAGAATGACAAAAGCATTATATGCGAAAATCGAATTTGAAAAAGTAACGGAATTCTACAGCTAATAAAAACAAGACAAAGTAACTGATTTTAAATAGATAACAGGGTCTCAGATAGTTGTTTGTAGTTCATGAATTCATTCGTAACACGAATTTCAATCTTATCATAAAAGTTGAAACCTTGAGTCGAAAAATTCCTAAAAAGTGTAATTTGAGAGTCATTTTTATCTGTTTTGACTATTAGTTGTTATAATTTGACAATCAGTCAGTCAGTGAGTCAGCTACAACGTAGGACCAGGCATGTCACCTAGAGTCTCCAACCATTGGTTACGATAGTCACGCAGATACTAACCAAGTAGTCTGCATCTACCAACATGGCTCAGACTAGAAGTTAGTAACTTCATGCTCTAATGACACGTTTTGGTTTGGCCGCTCCTAACTCTCTTCCAACCATCCCCTACACTAGTCAGCATAGCGCGTCGTGGTAATCGGTGTTCAAACATACGTAACACGTGGCCCAACCATCTCAGTCGATGAATATTCATGACCTCATCAACTGATTTACCATCATTTCCTAATACCATGCGTCTAACAATCAGTATTGAATGTTATCATATAATACTATTAACCTATAGGTAACAATAAGTAGAAAGCTATGAAAAAAGAAATTTGTCTATTTTAATATACCTCTGCTAACGGTTTAATGATAACATTAATAAGTTTGTATTCTATGGTGAAATTTCAACAGTTAAAAGAATATATTCATGGGACAGGTTTAAACTAAAGATAATGCATTTAAAACCTATATGAAACTAACTATATTACTTTCGTCGTTATTTCCCACGTTTTGACATAGCAACGTGTTTAGTTGGGTGGAAAGCTAATTGTTTACAAATGATTATTATCTTTATCTAGCGAACATTGAATTTAAGAACCGTTTACAAATGCCCCAAATGCCCTGGTAAGGCCGAGAGTGGGGAGAGTTCGCTCTCCCTCTCGAAATGCTCTCATATGGCCACGCGTATATAGCCTCTGCCAGGGAAGTCCTACTCACTGCCTTCTCGCACCAGGGGTGTTGTTTACGAAATTGAGAAGACGAAAAGCCAATGTCCGGCACTTTAACCGGGTTGGTGGACACGGTAAGTTCACCTAGAGAGTTGGAAAACCCTGATTCCAAACCAATGGTGCACATGGGCTCCAGTATCCTGAAGGAACAAATGGTGCATGAATCAATCGTCGGTCACCGACTACCATGGAACTGCTTCTCCTTACAATGCTTCACTACCTTGTGGACTAGACCTTCAGGTCAAAGGCTCGGGGTGTGGCCCCCTAAGAAAATCACCTGCTTCAGTTCGGGCACCTGGGCAGTATTACAGCCCTCACACAAATCAAATGAGATTTGTGAGGCGCATATTTATCTGGTGCTTCCTTGTATCAATATTTATGTGTTTAAATAAATAAATAAATAGTATCATAATTTTATGTGTTTGTTAGAATACATGGTAACCAAATATATGGTATATTCACTCAGCTATAAGCTTGTTGAATTTTACTTATTCCTTTAAATAAAAGTTCAAAATTTCAAAATGTTATATTTTTTCTGGAAGTGTGGTTTAATTGTTCACTAGAAACGTTTATTATTAATGTTGTATTAGGTGACAGACTTATTACCTTGGGTAAGATAACAAACGTGCACGCTGCAATATTGGATTTGAAAATTCGTTTTCATCCATTAGTGCTTCAAGTGTATGACTATTTTCAGTTTTCCCATCTGGAATAAGTAGATGGCTTAAACGTGGATTGACTGAGTGTAAGAGTTCTTCAATTTCAGTAAATGGTACACCCATTTTGGTAACATTCACCTTATAGAAAAGATAGATAAGATGGTATGATAGTACATGGATTAAAAACAAACATCATTGGAAAAGTGATGAGTTCTTTTAATATGGATACTTTAATTACATGTATACCTTTGAGAAAGACCATAAAACATCCTATGCCACTATCTCTTTTTAAGAGACTTATCACTATTTACTCGTTAAACAATTCTCAAAAATAATCCACTTTACAATTGAATGTATTTTTAGTAGGTTAGTGTTGTTATAGTTCTTTATTTAGGGATTTATACTAAGTGATTTTTTCATGCTATAAGTTGAAAATCTCGGTAGTAAACTCAATCAAAAATATGTTCTCACAAACGACGTGCGATTGACACTACGGTCACAAGTAACAAAATAGGAGGTTCGAATTGTTTATTAAAGAAATTGAACACTTCAAAATCTTTTTGGTCTTTCAAGTAATGAGGAGAGGAAATACGAGTCTATTCTTCTAGATAAAATGCCTGTTACTAGAAAAAAAACGCTTTAATCAAACGATCTACCTACAGAAAACCTACACAAACAGAACTGTGTCTTAGTTTTCATAGTTACTATTTACTTCAATACAAATGAGGTTTGATCAAAAATTTATTGACTGTATCTGGACAGATGATGCTATTGAAACTGAGGCGAAGCCTGTTATGCCTGAAACTAAATCGATTCCGCGGTAACGAACGAAAGCCAATGACACGATAAGCTATTCTAATCGGTTGTCCCAGGCCCCGCTAACTAGATGAAGAAGTCCAAGGCAAGTAGGGGAATATACATGTATTCCGTAAGCAGCCGAGTACAAGCAATCGAATAATGGAAAAAATCAAGCGCATTTATACAACAACAATTTGTCCTTGAGCATCATTGGTAAATAGCACACACAAAGAAACAATGGACCAATAGCGGTTAAGATAGTTTACAGGTGGGAAATATGACGTGAAGGTAAAAAGAGCGCTTTTGGCGCGAAAACAGCTAAATTCAAATTCTCAAAATAAAACTACAAGATTAAGCCATTTACCAAGTAAGTCCTGGGGATTTGACATCCCCAACACCTCCCCTTTTTAAGAAATCCGAGCTCCTCCTCCCCCACGAAATAGTGTTGGATCCTCATATACCCAATTTTCTACTAATGCGATTCTATTTATAACATGTTTCTGGCATTAAATAGGGAACCTGCTAAGATTGACTGGATGGTGAGGATCGACATTTGATGTGAGGTCAGAATTTGATTCTGCAGAAATGTAGTCATTAGACTTATTGCAAACATCACTGGCAGGTTGTGGATCACTATGATAAACAGTGTCCAGCAAAACTGCGCTAGGTTCCGGATTTGATGCATGTAACAAATTTCCTGGACAAGCTTGGGAATCTTTGGCATTAGATTCGGTAAAAATTTCTATTGCAGAATGCGATTCGCTCGGTGTGCTGCTCGATATGATGTCTGGCACTTCGTGGGTGATTGGTGCGACCACTTCATGAGCTTTTAACATAGCATCGTGTTGATGAGAGCTGAAAGCGTCATTGATAGGACCTGCTAATTCCAGGATAGTGGAGTTTGAATCCACTACCGAGCATGTTGCTGAAACGGATAGTGATGGACAACCGGGCATGTCTTGTGATACTGCAGTTTCGTTTAGGTTGCGGCTTGTTGAGGAATCATGGGGGCTGCGATCATTTGCTAGCTCTGTGTGCAATTCAGAGATTAATACATCCACTTCTGACGCATATGTGAAGCATTGATGATCCAGAAACTGTGTACGTAGTTTGACCATGAACTCCAAATGTCGGTCAAAGAGCAACTGTAAGCGGTCAGAAGGGAGCGTCATTTCTCACTTTTGTCCCCGTCGCCAATTGTTATACCTGAAACTAAATCGATTCCGCGGTAACGAACGAAAGCCAATGACACGATAAGCTATTCTAATCTGTTGTCCCAGGCCCCGCTAACTAGATGAAGAAGTCCAAGGCAAGTAGGGGAATATACATGTATTCCGTAAGCAGCCGAGTACAAGCAATCGAATAATGGAAAAAATCAAGCGCATTTATACAACAACAATTTGTCCTTGAGCATCATTGGTAAATAGCACACACAAAGAAACAATGGACCAATAGCGGTTAAGATAGTTTACAGGTGGGAAATATGACGTGAAGGTAAAAAGAGCGCTTTTGGCGCGAAAACAGCTAAATTCAAATTCTCAAAATAAAACTACAAGATTAAGCCATTTACCAAGTAAGTCCTGGGGATTTGACATCCCCAACAAAGCCACTGAAAGAAATACTTATGGAAAATGAATATCCATTAAAGTTCATAAACTGATAGAAAGAATGAAGTATGTTGGGATTTATTATACTTCTAGAGTCTCAAAATTCTAACTGCCTCTCTCTACTACTGTCTGATGAGTCAGGTGGTCGTATTTTACCGGTAAAAATATACTATGCAATATATATATATATATATATATATATATATATATATATATATATAATTATCATTGATAACCTTTTGTTATTCTAATCCTTTACATTCACTTATGTCAATTGTTCCACACTATTTATTACCCTAATGCTAAAACTGTAATACATATTTGGTTGTAAGCAGCTGATGAGAAACTACAAAATATAATGAATTCATATTATTCTGCATCAATATTTGTTCTGTCTTTATTTAAATTCATAAGGGGAACTAACTGCATGAAACACATGAATAAGCAGGAGAACACGTAAAAAAGTGTGATTAAGTGAACCTTTCATCTAGAGATATCAATTTTTCATTAGTTATGACTCAGTAACAAGACAAAAATTAAAAGGTGTGAAAGAGCTCGTTTAATAATTAAAATTTCAAGTGTAATAGCTATATACCTGGTTAGATTTTGGAGGTCCTGTTAACAGTAAATAGTTTGTCCATCCTTCAGCAATCAATTCTAAGACACCTGGAAACGTCATTCTGTAAAATATAAGTATGGATTTGGAAAAACTGTTTTACAAAATCATTTATATGATCGCCTTGATAATTCATTAAACAATAAAACAATTGGTTTACAGATCATAAACAATGGACATTTTATTGACCTTGTTTAGTCGACTAAAACTTTCCAATTTTTAATCTTGTTTTAATATTAGTAACTCATTTCATTAACACAGGGACGTCGAGAGTATAGTTTACTCTGCTATTTACTTAAAGTAAGAAATTATACTATTATCAAATGAGTAAAACATCAAGGATAGGGATTGCTGATAAGCGAAAGGCTTAAGTTAAGCAGAAACTTTTTATTTAATGATAAGTTGAAATCATGAGTCAATTGAAGCTAGACCACCATCGAAAACCTGGAAGCACCGGACGGTCGTTTCGTCCTATTATGGGACTCCTCAGCAGTGCGCATCCACGAACCCACTCTCGCGGGATTCGAACCCAGGACCTACCAGTTTCGAGCCGAAGCCCTTAACCGATAGACCACTGAGCTGGCATCCAACGGTGTTAATGTCTAACTTCAACTGATCTCATGATTTCAACTTTGAGAAAGAAAAACTGAAATCTCCACAAATCCCCTTCTAAATTTAATGATAAGTAAGTAAAATGCTAAGCAACTACATAGGTACTATTATAAAATTGAAAACTAAATATTCTACTAAATAAACAAATACTATAGAACAGTTCAGACATATCGACATATCAAACAGACAGATAATCGTTTTTTATTTTATAATATTGAAAGTTTATAGTAATAACAATCTGATTATTACATTTTTATGTAATTTTATATAGTTGAAATCATGAGTTAATTGAACCTGGAGTACTATGGTAAACCTGGAAGCACGGGACGGCCGTTTCGTCCTGTTGTGGGACTCCTCAGCAGTGTGGATCCACGATCCCGCCTCGCGAGATTCCAACCCAGAATCTATCAGTCTCGCGAGCGAGCGTTTAATCACCAGACCACTAAGCCGGCATCCAACGGTGTTAAATGTTTAACTTCAATCAATCCACAAAGTTGACTCGTGATTTTGACTATATAAAATTATTAAAATCTCCACAAAACCCCCTTCTGATGACATATTCATGTTTCTATGGTCTAATTTACACATACTGAAATCATTATGAGTTATCTAGTAAAAATTGCAACCAACTTTAAATAGTTTGAAATATTCTTCATTCATTTTTGACAAATGAGTATACTCAATATTAGTGTTGTTTAAATAACTATTTGAATGAAAGAAGCTAGAATGTTCATTTTTTCTTCAAAAATTGAAGAAAAGCCATCGATGAGTGAAGAATTCATTTCATTTATCTTAATTCTCAACTCTTACTCAGTTCAAAGTAGAAGTGGATTAAACGAAAGATTTCACATCAAACTAATAGTAATTCATTATATTCAGAAGAATCGGACTTAAAACCCCGATAAATTTACATGATCGATTGTTTGTTTCAGGAGTAATAAGAAAATAGAGAAGTTAATATTATTTTACTTTTATTTGTTTATATGTACTGTAAACTAAAAGTCTTCAAGTAAGGATAATTCTTCAGATATATTGAATTTATTTATGAGACCACTAAAATGATAAATAAAAATATGCATGGGGATTAGTGGAGATTGTGGTATTTTCACGGTTGGATTCACGAGTCCATCAGTGACCAATGAAGTCTAATCCGTGTCGGATGGTTGTGCAAGAACACGGATCAATCGAAATTAGACATTGACACTGTTGTATAACAACTAGTGGTCTAGAAGCTAAGCGTTCGCGAGAGACCGAAGGTCCTGGGTTTGAGTTCCACGTGCGATATCGTGGATGCGCACTGCTAATGAGTGGAATTTGAAACTTTTACTGAATGAGCTGATGAAATTAGAAAAATACTTATTGTATATCAGCCTTTTTAGAAAATAAGTCATTTAAAAAGTGTAGAATATTTATATTAAATAAGCACAGCTCTATGGTGAAATACTATGTAGTTAATTGTTAAAATGTTATAAACATAATATTACAACATCCCACTTGGGTAGAATTTATTATTAATAAGCACAAATTAAGGTTAATTTCAGCGATCTGTTAGGAGCTGGTATAGCTGACTGACATGTAAGCAAATTGTTGAAATAGATTCAGGTCACTAAGTACGACAGTAAACTAGTCAAGGATTCATAAAACAAAATTGAGCAAAACATTAAGATAAACAAATATGTCAAGTAATTTATCACAGGTTAATCTTTCATGATGTATATAAATGAATATATCACTGATAAATTAACAAAAACATGAGTTTAAAAGTTATTTCGACCAATATTACATTTTTGCTTATTAAATATATTTATAGATTTATCAAAGAGCTGATTAGACAGATCCCAAACAAAGTGAACATGTTAATTTTAAGTTGATGATAAATACCTTCCATCATCCATAATGGCCATTCGTAAATCAATACATGTTGCGACACAACCTATCAAGAAATAAGAAGTGAAGGTATTTGATATAACAAACATCAACTCAATCCAAATAGTTCAGTCTAGTTAGACAATTTTTTTTTCTGTCATATTAAAATAGTGGTGTGCCAGTTTAAATTACCAAAACTGATTAACGGTAGATGTTGCATCTTGTGAACTTTCAACGTCCGTGACTTGCAGTTAAAATATTTAACAGAGAGTTAATTATGTAAAATATCCTTGAAAATGTTAATCTGGATGATCATAATTATTTACATTTGTGTGACGATTGTCTTAAATTAAAAATGAACTATCAGTGAGTGTCTTACAAAGAGGTCAGCATCTTTGAATAGATCTTTTTTGTGAGAAAAACTAAACAAACCATGTATATTGTCAGCTTGTGATATATTACATCAATGCATTGATAATTCTCGTCTGGTCAATGAGAGATGCTTGATGAAACTGAGCTATTCATAAGTCTCGGCCACTACGTCATGAGTTATTTGTTACTGAGTTGTCAATGTTTATTTGCATAATGAAAACATAAACTACAAAAATCCCTACTACATTCTGTTATAAACGTATAGATGCTGTTTATAACGCTAGCGGTTTCTTGTTATAACAGTCCTTTCACTTTCTATACGTATGTGGAACGTTAATTTAATTTAATATCTACACTAGATTCCCACCCAGTGTCTATTCTACAGGACATCAACACAACTCAGATCAAGAACACGAGATTAGCCTGACAACAACGTCAATATATTT